AGTCTAATAGTCATTCATATCCATTTTGCTCTGCATGGAGAAGCAGGGACAGTTCCCTCACAAAGACAGATGTGACAGTCACAGCCCTGGTCATGTGCCGTCTCCCTTTCTCCTCTCCAGAACAATGTTTTTATGTTACTGAGATTATTAGAAATGCTTCTGTCAAAAACATCTTGGTTACAGCACCATTCAGTTTTTCTCCCCCCTGTGCCGAGTGACAGATGCTTGCAGGAAAGAATTTCACCGCCAGAAAAACAATCACGGTAGCCTTTATAAAATAATCTGATTTGCAGTTTGTTCTCCTGGCAACTGTTTGCATTGATTACACCAAGATCAGCACTGAAGATGTGCGGCAATATCCGAATACAGAACTCCATCAGTCTTTTCCAGTCTCTGCTGTAACTTCATCCGAGCAGAGGGAAAGCAGATGGTTTGAAGTTTGGCTAAAGGGATGGTGAATTTTTTTGGCGGGGGGGGGGGGGGAGGGAGGCGGACATCTGAAAAAGCTGACTTCTGCTATTGATTCCAGTTCAAAGCAAAGTTTTTTTCTCAAATTGACCTGACCATATTGCAAAATTAGGATTGCCTTTGCCTTGTTCCAATTATTTTTTTTTAAAAAATCAATCTAATCCTCAGTCTAAATTCACTTTTCTTTATTATTGCCAAGATCAAAACTTAGAAAAAAGAAAAAAAATGGCATACTGTAATCGCTAAAAACTATGACCCACAGTAAAAATATTAATATTATGCAGCGATCTCAACACAGATTCTAAGGGCAATATTACAATATTTAGATAATTTGTCTGAAGACATTTTCGTTGTCATGTGGCCAGCATGATTATATGCCAAGGCCAGGGAATGCTCTTACTTTCCCACCGAAGTGGTACCTGTTTATCTACTCTCATTTGCATGCTTTTGTTTGCATGCTAACTAGGTGTAAGGAGCTGGTAACAGGAGCTTACCTGTTCATGCAGTGCTTGAATCTTGAACCTGGCTGTCAGCTTTGCAGCTGACAAGCTCAGCATCTGTAACTGCTGAGCCATCAAATTGGTTTAGCTTCTTCCAGATCAGCCAAGACTAGCTAGGAGTTGTGCTGACTTGTTTTAAACTGAGTTCTTGCTTGAAAGAGTCACAGCCTCTGTGCTTCTGGTTTGCCTAATTTAGCCAAGGAAGGGAGATGGGAGGAGTCACTGGATAATGTCTGTAAAGCACTTTGAACATGAAAAAAACATTCTGCTACAGTAAGTGATGATAATAGCAACAATAATAATTAGGTTGATTATTAATTACAGGATAATGCCAAATGGGATAGGAGGAGGATGGAAGGCTTGAAGAAGAAAGATCTAACTTTGGGATTTGACAATTATAAAGTGACTCTGTAGCCCTGGGCACTGTACTGCATCTGCATGTTAATTGCACGGTTTTTTGCATGCTTATCTTCTTTTTATTTATTTTTTTCCTCAGAGGGAAAGGTTTCCCAAGTTTTGAAAGACATTTTAGGACAAGAGCCATCTCAGTTTGTGAGAAAGAAAAATACCAAGAATTTGATAGACCTTTTCCAACAACAAATGTTATTAACAGCTCAGGAAAGCTTATGCCTTATAACAACATTTGTTGGTCAACAAAAGTGTTCTCAGATTCTTGACTTGTTGCCAAGAATAGAAGTAAATTCAACAGAGGTCAGAAATTTATGACCATCGAATCAGGCTGGTGGTGTGTATGTGTTTGTGTATGATTTATTTAAGAAATATATAGGGCCACCCAACTCACTCATGATGACTTATAGGTATAAAACCTCAAATATGCCCAATGCGCAGACTGCATTGAAATTCTTCAACATTTGCTAGACTGGTTTGGAGTTTGGCATAGTGATTAAAGAAGACTGTGAGTTATACTCCTGCTTTGGGCCAGTCACTCTCTCTCAGCCCTAGGAAAGAGGCAATGGCAAGCCACTTCTAAAAACCTTACCAAGAAAACTGCAGGGACTTGTCCAGGTAGTCACCAGGAGTCAAAATCTGACTTGAAGGCACACACAGACAGAGAGAGATCTCTTGATGTGTTTATTCTTAGACGTGTCTTGTTTCTTTCTTGTTACCTGTGTGAGACAATGGAGGAGGCTTTTGTCCATATGGGAATTATTTTATCAATGTGATCAGCATCCTCTGCATTTTGATTTTGAGACTAGCTTTAAGAGGTACAGTATGAATACAGAATAACGGAATTGGAAGGAACTTTGGAGGTCTTCTATCCCAACCCCCTGCTCAAGCAGGAGACCCTATACCATTTCAGACAAGTGACTATCCAGTCTCTTCTTAAAAGCCTCCAGTGATGGAGCAACCACAACTTCTTAAGGCAAGTTGTTCCACTAATTAATTGTTCTCACTGTCAGGAAATTTCTCCTTAGTTCCAGGTTGCTTCTCTCCTTGATTACTTTCCATCCATTGCTTCTTGTCCTACCTTCAGGTGCTTTGGAGAACAGCTTGACTCCCTCTTCTTTGTGGCAACCCCTCAGATATTGGAACACTGGTTTTATGTCATCTCCTAATCCTTCATTTCTCTAGATTACCCATCATACCAATATGTATATAGAAATGTATGTGTTTGTGTGCATGTTCACCCATGCATCCACATAATTTAGAAATTTACTGCCATTTCTTGAATAAAATCTAACTAGACCGTCCACCTGAAAAATCAATGATGTGTATATTTTGGCAATTCAAGCAGGATCTCTTGCATTATAATTATTTGTTTAATTTGGGGGGGGGCATTTTGATGTAGCAACGAGAATAGCATCAATCAAAAAATGGAAGGGAGAAAATCCACAGGGCACTTCAGAACAGGACATGTCAGCAGTGGGATAATTGGTGCTAGGTGGGGAAATTATTGTCTAGAATGTCCTCAGGAATGCAATTTGCTATGATATCCTCTCTTTGAAATGCGTGAATTAGCTCTTCATCACACCTAATGGGAAATCTTTCACCATCAGCCTTGAAATTTGTGTCTGTTAAAAAAAAAGTGCCAATAAAGGAAGAAAGAAAAAGTTGGTTGTAGAAAGAGAATTCTGGTGTGCATTTTATCGTTTCTGTCTGTGGAAAAACGGGCAAGGAACACAACTGAGAAAGGAAATGTGAGAGACACAGATACTCAGGGATAATCTGTGTTCACTGAAATATTTGACATGTTTTAATCGCTCTTTTCAACTCTGACTTCAGGAAGAACCTGTCATTTACCACCAGGCTCGGGGATAAAAATCCCATCTCTTCCAACTCTTTCTGTCTCAAAAAGTTATCAGAAAGTTAATTATCAAATCAAATCTTTATTAGGAAATGTACTGAGTAATTTTATTGCATAGAATTAGGAAGCCGTACATATGAATGAGTTCTGCATATAACAGCTCACAAGAAACCTATTGTATACCTTTGCTTGTTTCAAATCTGGACCTACCACTTGAAAAAGTCCCTTTGCTTGAGCTACTCTTTTCTTGGTCTTGAATCTCTTGTCCACCTGTCACTTGTGTCACAAACAGTTCTGTCTGATGGGAGAGTCAGGTGTCCCAGCTCATCAACTTCAGTTCCTTATAGAATCTACCGTGTCCATCAGAAACTTTATTATTGATAGCAGTGATTAGGGAGTGAAGTGCTACTTGCCAAGGTAAATTTCCATGGCACTGAAGAATACATGGCTAAGGAAAAGCAGACAGTCTGGAAGAAAAAAAAAATCTCAGTGAGGTGGTGTCCAGCTGCTTTGCCTAGATAAATCGTGGAAAAGATGATAGCCACCATATTTTTTCCCTCCATATTGTTCTAGATCAGGGGTAGGCAACCTTGGCTCTTTTATGACTTGTGGACTTCAACTCCCAGAATTCCTGAGCCAGCGTGGCTCAGCTTGGAAACCTCTCCCTTTTCCCTCAACATGGCTGGCTCAGGAATTCTGGGAGTTGAAGCCCACAAGTCATAAAAGAGCCAAGGTTGCCTACCCCTGTTCTAGATATTCAGTCCATCCAGAATGTTATAGAATGTTATAAAATAAAAAAACCCCACCCAAATGTTAAAGGCCTGTCAGCCTAAATGCCTGAAGAATTTTTTGTTGTGGCTGATGTCAGTAGGGCTTTCCAGAATATTTATAGCTAACATAATGCCCCAGGGGGTTGTAGAGACACTGAATAGTAGCCACTAAAATGCTACTGTTCCCACACATCATATCAATATTTAAAAAAGGATCAGAAACCCCCCCCCACACCTTATTGACCACAAATCTAAAGGATGGATTTAGGAAAGGATGCACTGAAGCTTTTCCTGAGGAGAACCCGTCCAATTTATGGCTTAGAATATGCCCAACACATTAAGGGACACAGTGTGGAAGAGAGAAACCAAATTCCAGTTACCCCATGAGCTGAATTTCTCTGCATGCTTTGGACACGGGCCTCAATTGCAGCTAAACTCCTTGGCTTTTCTTTCACAAATCTGCCTCCATCTAGAATGAGGAAGGCTTGAAGGTAGAATTTGACTCAATGAGTAGAGAGCATGAGGGGTGATTCCCTTCTCCCCAATCCCACTATATACCATGTAGTCTACAATGGATAAGCATGGGGAGATCCTCACCTTTCTGCACCACCAGAAGTAATTTTATCACCTTGTCCCCTTACTACAAAAAAAAAATAACAAGAACATTTTTTTCCCAATGTCCCAAAGGTGCTTTTCAAAAGGCAACTGGACTTTTCTTGTTCTGTTTTTTTCCTCCCTTGAAGACATTTCTCTTCTCATCCAAGAAGCTTCTTCAGTTCGGAATGAAGAAGCTTCTTGGATGAAAAGTGAAATGTCTTTCAAAGAAAGAACGTCCAGTTACCTTTTGAAAAGCACCTTTGGGCCAACCATGATCTGGTTGACTGAGAATCTCCACAGAACTTTCCCTATGCTTTCCTCCAAAGCTTGTATAATCTACCCTCTTTTAAAAACCTTACTTTCCTGATTTTGAAGGCAAAATCTTTCTTTTCCATTCAGAAACCACTACCGGAACTATGTCCCAGCAGCGGCAGGAGGTCCTCGTGGGAAATCATGCTACACTCTCACCTTCAGCCTTGTTTTCCCTCACCAGGAAGATGTTTGCTACTTGGCCTACCATTACCCGTACACCTACTCTACCATGATGGTAAGGCTGCTGTTCTAGAGTTTGAAGGGAAGGACTCATGACGCAGAAGGCCAAAACCGATGGTTAACAATCACATGGCTATTTGTCTTAATGTGTCCTGCAAACCTAGCTATGGGCTGCCTAGTAGCTGGGTTCTAACTAGCCTGTAAATGGGAGGTTAAGCCTGTCTCAAGCTGAGCTTAATTGTTGGAAATTTCATGAGTACTTCTATATAGTTTCGTGGGCAACCATGTTTAAGTGGCTTGCTATAGACCGCGTCTTTTCTTTTGCTTTCCAAGTTTAACCTATAAGATTATCTAGCAATCTCCCATTTAATACAAGTCAGCTACTCTTTTTCTTGCCTTATTGACATTAACCAGGATCAGCTGCGTGCTGCCATCTTTTGTTGACAAATAGCTGAATTGTAATATTGTAATATCTCTATCCCTGCTTGCAAGATTGGGAGGCTCATGCAAAATTGGAGAGGGGGGTCTTCTTTTTGGGATGTGTGATTGTTTCCAGGGTCAGATAACATATTTAGAGTGCATTTATAGCTGGCTGGGTATAAATGATCTCCTTGATCAGTTTCCATCCATTGCTTCTTGTCCTGCTTTCAGGCACTTTGGAAAATAGCTTGACTCCCTCTTCTTTGGGGCAGCCCCTGAGATACTGGAAGACTGCTATCCTGTCCCCCCTTGTCCTTCTCTTCGTTAAACTAGACATACCCAATAGTGAAAATAGTGAATAATATAAAATAAAAAAATAGTGAAAAGCAAGAGAAGAGTAAGAGGGCCTGTTGTGTAAACACCACTTCAAAAAGTAACAACAAAGGAGTTTTTGTTTTACGTTGCTTTTGTTAAAAAAGGAAAGAAATGCTTCTGAATTTAGGAGGACCTTTAGCTTAATTTTAGATTATGCTTCCATTGAATACAAGTTTCAGTTTCGGCTGCACTGAGATACAGAGAAACATTCATTTCCTGACATTGCCTGAATCATAATTTCAATGGATATCTCAGTAGAGATAACTTTGACCGGGTCACTTAAATAACTCACAGATTTTTATTACCACTGCAAAGTGGTTTTTTTTTTTAAAAAAAAAAATCCAGTAAAAAAAACAATTTCATTTATACAGACTGCATGATTCCCACCCACCCTAAAAGAAAAACAAATTTCACACATGTGCATCACTAGGTTTTCTTTTTCAGCCTCTGTTTGTACAAATGTGTCTGTCTGTGTGTGCGTGCGTGCGTGCGTGTGTGTGTGTGTGTGTGTGTGATGGGAGCATCTCCCCCCTTCAGAGCAGCAATGAATTCTAAGTGGTTTTGCAACCCAGGAACTCAATTACCTGCACTAGGCATTTGGAAAGGCAATAAAACTCCATATGGAAACTGACTTGGAAACTCTTCACAATCTAATATGCATTTAATAACTGCAGACATATTTACAGCACACTGAAAAGAAGCCACATGAAAGACTGGTGTTGAATCGTACTAATTCTTTGAGTCAGAACCAACTGGTTTTTTTTTTTCTTCAGGATGATAATTTCAACTAGCTGCTGATATGTTCTAATGCTCGCCCGTGCAAGCACAGTGGACCGAAAGCTCCATCTTTTCATTCAAAACACAACAATGCAGAAGACGTTGCTTTATATTAAGATAGACCTTTGGCTTGTTCTAATCCAGGGATAGGCAACCTTGGCTCTTTTATGACTCGTGGACTTCAACTCCCAGAATTCCTGAGCCAGCCATGCTGAGGGGAAAGGGAGAGGCTGCCAAGCTGAGCCATGCTGGCTCAGGAATTCTGGGAGTTGAAGTCCACAAGTCATAAAAGAACCAAGATTGCCTACTCCTGGTCTAATCCAATATTTTTGAATATGCCTGGTAATACTAAGTATTTCAGGCAGATTCGTTTTTTTCCCTGGGTTTTTTTTTTTTCATATTGAAGATGGCAGGGACCAAACCAAAGATTTCCTAAATGCAAAAAAACATTTCCTCTCCAGTCCGCTTCACAATTTGGTCAGAGTCAAGAAATACACTGAGAGAAAGTCAGAAGCAGAAGCAGAGGATGACCCGAAGGAACAGAACTAATAACAAAATCATTTATCTTTCCACTCTTGCAGCTAGGGTGAATAGGTAGTTAAAGGGACTCTCAGCCTGGGTTGTAGGGCAGGGAAAGGACACCCGAGGTAAGCAAAAGGGCTACGGTTACAATCCCCACATCGTGATACAAGGTCCATTGTATCTGTCATTGGTTTTGCTTCTTTTCAGAAGAATCTGTGAAGATTGGGTGATGAGAGATACAGAGTATATGTTACCCCCCCCCAAAAAAGGAGAATATTTATAGCTTAGGGTTGAGATGAGAAGAGACTGGACAGCCATTTGTCTGAAATGATATAGGGTTTCCTGCCTGAGCAGGGAGTTGGACTAGATGACCTCCAAGGTCTCTTCCAACTTTTTTTTTATTATTATGGATCATCGCACAGTCAGCCAGATGTTCAGACTGGATTTGGCATTTTTGTCTACTTATCGAGTCCCTACCAATGACCTGGGATAGGCAGATGTGGATGTTTAATGGTATTACAGATATCGTCACAGGATGGAAGCAGTTCCTAGTAAGGCCGCCTTTTGCAATTGACTAGTGGCAAATTTGTCAATGCCAATGGTGTTCAAGTGGTGCTCCAGTGGTTTTGGGATTGCACCCAAGGCCCCTATTACTGTTGGTACTATTAGGCGCCTTGGGTGCAATCTCAAAACAACTGGCACACCACTTGAACACCATTGGCATTGACAAATTTGCCATTATTATTATTATTATTATTATTATTATTATTATTATTATTATTATTACTATTATAGTCCTTGGTGTTCTCTGAGCTTGATTGTTTTCTTGCAGATGTTTCTTTTCCTAAACTAGCTGGCATCATCAATGCTAATAATAAGACGTGATTTCTTTGACGATGTGAGAGAGAGAGAGAGAGAGAGAGAGAGAGAGGTGTTATCCTTCAGTAACTTATGTCATTGATCTCACTGAAAAGCTTGCCCATGGATGTGGGGCTTCCAGTTGTATATGTATATTCTACAAGGTATTGGACTAGATGGTTTCTTCCAACAGGACATTTTGTAAATTATTACATTTTCATGTTTGCAGTCTCACCTTGACATCTTGGAGCAAGCCAGGAATACAAAGAAAGTCTTCTTCAGGAGCCAGACTCTTTGCCACACTCTAGCAGGAAACGCATGCCCTCTGCTTACCATCACTGCCATGCCTGAATCGGAAAGCAAGGAGGATCTGGAGCAGTTCCGTAAGTCATTTCTTTCATTTGGTTCTTATTCTACCCTGTCTAGATCTTGAGTAACATACTGTACATCTGAATATCTGTATCCAGTAAAACTGCGAGCTGGGTTGAACGTAGCTCATCCATTTTCATTGCTGTTGAGAAAAGCTCAGTTTTTGAGAGACTCCCTCAAGTTGCGCTTGCGGAAAGAGAAAGGTGTGGATCTGATTCACATGTTCCATAAGACACTTATCTGGATTCATTGTTGTTCGGTACGCTGTGTGAATCTAGCTTTTGTGGTTTATGGTTTAACTTGTTTATTCAACAGCCATAGTTAAACATCGATGGCTAAATGATAACTATGAATAAGTCATTGGTTCATCTCCTGGTGTGACATGTCTGCATGAAGGGCAGTTGTTTCAGGAACAAATGTTCATTCAGTAGCTGCTACTATCTAATTAAATGTAATTCAATGTAAGGTATGCATAGTTTTGTTGCAGACTGTTTGTTTTTATTGGGTAATATGGCACAAAAAGACCATGTCATATTCAGACTTGCACTGGAGAAAGGCTTAATAGTTATCTACATTTTAATATTAATATTTAAGATACCGTCAAATAGCTTCAGAAAGAATTATCTACATTTTTGTTTCATTGAAGCAACGCAAAGAATTACAGCTTTTGGGACCTTTGATTTATTTCCTTTGACTTTATAGATGTTCTCTAATTTGCAGAACAAGGAAATTGTTATGAAAGGTTTCTTTTGTATGTTTCAAAATGATAAATGCAGCTCAGATTTGCAAAAATGCAATAGTGGAAAGGTCTTGTTGATAGAGGTAGGAGAGGAAATGTTTTCAAATTAGCCTTTGCTACTTGACAGTTGACCATGTGGACACCAGCTGGTGTTTGGCCATGAACAGGAGAAGTAGAGATGCTGCTAGCAATTCTGTTGTTGTTGTTGATGTTATTATTATTATTATTATTATTATTATTATTATTATTGGACAATCTTCAATCATTTCAGTTCCTAATGAATGATGTGATTCTTTTTTTTCTGGAACTATATCCATTCATATATTTTTTTAGAGTTAAGTTTGGTTTCACTCATCGTGCTAAATATGATTTGGATTTCACATAATCTATGAATTTAGCTATTTTGACTTCTAAACCTGATTCATACTTTGGCATGCTGTGCAAATTTAGCTAATTAAGATTTATTCAGTAAATTACGTTGAACACCCTAGTTTAACATGATATGTGAACTCAGCCTGATTTTGCTCCCTTAGAGAATTCTTTGCATGGATACGCAATATTTATAGATAACTAAGTTGGGCAAGAATTTAATTGTTCGGCTTTTATAACTTGCTTGCTTGCCTACCTCTGTATGTTTCTTAAGGTATATTGCCTGTGAATTCATGAGACTATTATCCTCGCTGTTGATGTACAGTTTCGAGGTGCAGATAAGAAGTGGTACGGGGGGGCATTTCTGGATCCCATATGGCATGATTACCAATGCATATCTGACTTCTATAGTATGATTACACTCAAAACAGACTTAGCAGCTACCATGGAGTCACCTATGTGAGAGGTTGGCAGCTATATACATTTAACAATAAATAAATAAGTGAAACATTTTTCTTTCTGGAACGAAGGTGAAATTGGCGTCTTTTGTCATGCATACCAACTAGCTGAACTCTCCCTTGGATTTTATTTCAACATATAAGACAACATCCTGTACAATCTATGGGAGAAGAAAGTAGCTGAGAGGTTATTGAATAATCAACAGGGTTCCAAGCTCTGCCCTCCAGTTTATTGCTGTGGCTTCTCACCCAAATAGAGGGAAGTGAAAAAATTTAAAGAAGAGAAGGACAACAGTGATGGAGGATGGTAGAGATAAGAATGGTTTGCAAAGATACAAATGCATGGGGAAGTATAGTGCACAGTGCTAATGTAAACTATCTCTTTAGATGGTTTTAAGAGGATAAATAACTTCTAAATGGATAAATAAATCAAGTATAAGAGAGAGCATTCAGATGGGCCAAATACAATGTTTTCCCAAAGAACAAGTCAGAAGGTTATCTCAGAGGACAAGAAACCCCAATGAAAGTATAGGATCTGGATTTCGGAAGTTGATGGAAAATTGCCTCTGGATGATGAGTTTCTTGGAGTTAATAGCTAAGCCTGAGATCCCTCAATTAGCTCTGTCTAACTTGGTCTGAGTGTATTAAACTATGGTTTTTTATAATGCAAGAGAGCTCTTGAAATGTCTAAAGTGTGCCTGGTTGAAAGAAGTCCTGCCTATTTTAGCTTACCAATACTGCATACATTTTCAAAACATTGTGAAACTGGTACTGCAGTTCAGGAAGACTTGTGTGTATGGAGATTTTCAATCACGCAGGTCATGGTTGTCTCAAAGTTGCTTTTCTGAAAGGGAACTGGACTTTCCATTTTTTTTTTTTTTTGTTCCTTTGAAAACATTTCACTTCATGGAAGCTTCTTGGATGAGAAGTGAAATGTTTTCAAGGAAAAAACACAAAGTCCAGTTGCCTTTTTGAAAAGCACCTTCGGTTCAGTAGGACTTAGATCAACTGGGGTTTCTCCAGTGGTATACAGAGCAAGCTGCTTGGGCTCTATTGCTAGATGGCTCAGGTTGGACCTGCCATTGGTGTCCCAGTGGCTTAAAGGAACCATTTCTGAACTGCTTGAATTTGCCTGTTGTTCTACTTTGCTTCTGCAATAATTGCTTATTCCTTGTCACCAAGAGAATATGGGCAAAAGGAGAAACAAGCCATTCTAATATTCAACTCTTACATAGAAACCTATTAAGAAGCGTGTGTTTTATACATCCCAGTACCACAGCCCTTTTCTAATCCTAGAGATATGGATCAATTCTCACAAGTTACCCGAGCCTGCTTATTAAAGTGTCATTCTGTTTCTAGAAAAAAAGAAGAGCCATCTTAGAATTAATTGAGCTTGGTCTCTCAGATGCTTCCCAAAAAGTCAATGTGGGTCATTCAACTCCATATCCATTATCTTATGGCCCCTCCCCAGTGACCTATTTTGGGACCTGGAAGTCAAGCAAATGCCTGTGAGGGGCTCTTGCTTGCAAACAAAAATAAAGATCCTAAATGGAACTATTCTGCTATGAAAAGTGTAATGCTTTATTATGCATTGTGCTCAGGCTGCATCTTATAGAAATGGCACTGATGGGAGAAATTAAATTGCCTATGAGCCAAAGACTTAATGATCATGTTAAAAAAAAAATTGAATGGCTACTGTGTAGCCTGTTGAGTTTAAAACAGTGAGGTAACTCATCTGCTTTTCATAAGCGCTGCTGGTGGTAACAAAGGCTTCTGTGTACCTTTTCATATATGTATATTTGTGTAAGTGTGTCTTTGTTTGTTTGTGTGTTAGGTACAAGCAATTAGAATCACTTGTCTTGTGAAAGGTTCAAGTCAGCTACTTTGTTGACTTCTGCCTATATTACAAGAAGCTCCCCAGATTGTTTGCCTTCCCTTGGAGCAAACAGATAAGGTTTCATGGACCTTGGTGGTGGTGCAGGGTCAGGCTTATGTCTCTTGTGACTGTGCAAGAATTCAAGACTAGTTCCCCACTTGACTCCTCATTCTTGCCTGACTGGGAGTTTTCAAAAAGGATCTTGTTAGGGGAATAAAAAAACACCTTGGTGCACATACATTCAGGTTTTCTATATTTGAAAGAGACCCCACCACCATCATGAATTTTAATCCTGTCATATTTGCAAGTGCTCTGCTGAAATTTGGCAACCTCCGTGCTGGAGGAAACTTATTTTTTTTTTCAGCTGCTTGACAGCAAAAGCTTTGTTAGCTTTCTTCCTGTATTTGCATTTTTTAAAAAAATAGAAATGGCAAGCAGTCTGGATTCCATTTGTGAGATTTTTCTGTGGTTGACTCCACCTTGCAGAATAGCCTCCTCCAGGGATGTTTTTAGCTCTTACCTTGGATCATTTCCGAGGACTATTGATCAGAATCCTCTGGAATTTCTTTGATGGTTATCACTGCATTGCTTAGATTGGGTTGATGCCTAGAGTTGTCTTATGTTTTTTTTTCCTATTTTCCTTACTGTTAAGCTTTCCATGTTACTATTGTTATGGATTTAAAATTATGTTTTATGGCTTATTTATATGGGTAACTGCCATGAGTCTCTTCAGGCTCAATAGAACAAACTTTGATTCAATATTTTTAAACAAAGCTAGATATTGAGGGATGCTAGAATTGTAATAGCTAAGCTTCGTAAACTCTTTGCCTGAATGGAAGAACTCCGTAGTTTTCTTTACCTTTGGATTTCATTAAATATCAAGGAAGGTATGTTATGAAAAATTATAAGAACATGGGATAATTCTAAGAAAAACCAGATAAACAAGGATAAAGATGTCCTTAAATCAAGCTTGACTCCTCATAACTACATGGAGACCTTCATTCAGAGTTCTTGGCAACAAGATAGAAGCAATTTGTCATCACCTTCTTCCTGCGTGTACTTTTTGACTTTTCACTTAAGCCAAAAGCTAACCTGGGCTGACCCAGCTTAGCTATCTTCTCAAAATACAAAGCTAGTTACCTTTCCAACCGTTCTGCTCAAGGCATTTAACAGCATCCAGAAATGAATTTGGTGGAACGGAAGGATAATCCTCTTTATATCCAAGTCCTACAGTTTTCACTTGCGAAACTTGTTTGGGAAACCAAAGACTACAGGATGTGCAGGGGTATGACCACAGGGAAGTTATTCACAAGTGCGAGGGAGACTCTCAGTTAAGAATCAGTGCATGTAATAGTATGTAGGGATGACCTCGAGAGAGAGGAGGAAGAACCACAGACTGCAGAATCACATGCAAAGGATATCTCAGTCCACAAAAGGAGGGAGGACATAGGAGATGTTTCAGATGAGGCTCCAAAGTTTTCTGAAGAGTAAAAGGAAACGAAGGGAGAAATACTTTCAAACTTGCAAGATTCTGTTAAAGTTGTGTTCCATTGTTGTGCTTCTTGACTGGAG